ATAACGGACCTGTTGACGAAGCTGGTTTCGGCAACTGATGGCGCGAATAAATACGCGCTGGAACCTGCGGAAGTGGTGAGTATATCTTCAAGCTTTTGCCACTGGAATGTTCTTAATTCCGGGAAACATAGACGGCAAACATGATGTCACTCCTTTTTGCCGGAAACGGTGCGTGTACATTTCATCTCTCGATAGCAGTATTTCATGTCCGGCGACGATGATAGAAACCACGAGCAGCGCGCTATTGTCAACGATCACGCTTTTAGCTCTGCATCCCGATGAGCAGGAGAAGGCATATCAAGAAATCCTACGTGAAGCCACATGCAAGGAGGGCCTGGTGCGTGATTGTCCTTAGTCATTGAATCCTTAGCATTATATCTTTCTCCAAAGAGCTTGAGTATCATTAATAATCTCAAGCATCTTTTCGCGTGTTTCAATGAAGCTCATCGACTCGTCCGTGCGTGATTATCGTCATATTTAAATGATTACTTACACTAACGTCGGATTTTAGCTGTTACAATAAACTTACCCAGAGTTACCACGGAAGATACACCTATCCACAGCTCTAGGCCAGTGGAAAGGGATTTCATCCTTCCGAAGGGCTCTCGTATTGTTATCGACATTGTGTCCGTCCGTGAGTTTATTTATGCCAGTCTCGACGCGTGGCAGGCTGATCTCGTCGATTAAAGTTCACAATCCACGCGACTTCCCTGAACCAGAGAAATACATCCCTTCGAGGTGGTACGACGCTACGGAGCATGATTTCCTCATGTTCGGCTTTGGACCTAGGGCGTGCGTGGGCAGGAAATTCGCTCAGACTGAGGCCGTCTGTTTCCTTGCACATTTCCTGAGGGACTGGAAGGTCGAGGTTGTCCTAGAGGCTGGAGAGACAACGGCGAAAACATGGGATAGGATTGCGGCAGACGCTACTCTGCGTGGAACAGCGTTTTCCCTGGGGTCTGTGCCAATCAAATTTGTCGCAAGAGACTCGAATTAATGTACTGACGCGTCTTTTGTGTACGTAAACTTTTCTGAAGATAAATCTTCTGGTGCAAACGAAAATTTATCTATTTTTTCTTGAGTTCGGAGTTGGCTCGGAGTCGCGAGACCATCAGCAGGTTGGGAAAAAAGTTTCCGGGACTTGCGGCAACCACGATCCGGCGGAATTCTTATTCACCTTGTCGAGGCCTTACAAAGTCCATATAACCGGGGCACGATGTTGCGTCCTTTTCATATGCTATTAAAACCTCGCAGTATGATAACTTAGCCTTCAAAATTACATAGAACTATCTCCAGCTCGTATATCACTACTATAAGCCCATTAAATTGTAGTCTCGCTTCTGTAGACTGATTGTATTTGAACCTCAAAAGCTTCGGTGTCCATGTGTAAGCCAGCAAACCCCATATCTATGACATCGAGATGGTAATTCGACCTCTATCGGTCCATCAGAGTTGGTGTCTTCTTCGGAAAGCCCCTCGCCATCGTCTTCATCACATTCCTCTGAATCTTCTTCCATGATAGCTTCATCGTTTCGTCTGTTGGTCCCCGTTTTGTGTGCGGAAGTCTGACTAGATTTATTTCGACTCGTAGTTAAAAACTGGCTTCACAGTGGTTCTTGCGAAGTAAGAGTCCTTCGGATGTAGTACTGCACTACTGAATTTTCAGCATGCCCTCGGCCCACTTCAGTGAGAGTGCTGTAGCGGGAGAAGAAGTTCGGTCATTAAGATAACTGGTGCATGGCGTGACAAAACGAGCGTCCGAGATCTCGCGAGTCGCGATCACCAGATCAATGCTGAATGTGTCATCCTATGTAATGCACCCCGTGACACCACGCGTTCTTCCTTCTTTCCTTCTCGTCACAGAGCAGTACGTGTCCATTCGTCCCATGCGGCTCTCTCACTCACACATGGACCATGCATCAGACACCGACCCTACATGACCGCTTCGCCTCTAGACCTAATCTTCTCCGATACGGACTTCTTCTTCCGAGCCGGAACTACAATGTAGTCAGCTATTCCAACATAAATAAAAGTCCGAAGTAGCCACCAAAGTTGAAAGCCCCAACGTCTCGAGCAAGATATCATCGCCTCTCCAAGCATCGCAAATTCCTCGCCTATGCAACTCTTCTCAGGCATCGGTGCGTCCATTTCAAACATTCAAGGTCTTCTGAAGCGACATATCAGTGCAGAGTCGGAGGAGGAAGCGGTCGTGTTGAAAGGTGCTCAAGTGAGTCAATCGTCACGGTCAGTGAGTTGGATCCCTTGAAATCAGCTCCGTATAGCATCTCAGGGAATTTTTTTAGTCATCCTTCTCCTTTGATTGGTGGTCTGGATCGCCGTGGAATTGGACGAGTACGTCCGGCTCCGACAATTGAAGTAATTATTTCGTATGTTGCAGGGATGTGTGCTGATATCCTTTCTCCTAGCCGTGTTTTCAAGTTCAAGGCCAGAAGAGTTCACCTATCTAAGTCTTTTCCTGATGGCAGCTCTGGAGGGCGATTGGCAGCGAAGAGGTTGAGACGAGGACCTGGACAACCGGACAGCAAGCCATTTGTATAAACTGCATTATCTAGACGTACCTGTATTCTGTTTACGGCGATGATAATAAATTTACTATTTCAAGCCTCTCTGTCTCCAAGAGTGAAAATATTCGTAGTATATATGAAGTGAGCCCCTAGCCACCTGAGAAGCTATAAAAATCACGAACTCGTTTTACGATGGCGATCATGTTATACCTGCATATGGTGCCAAGTAATTGTACTAACACCTTTCGAAGTCTGACAAGCATTACCGGCATCAGAAATACTCATAATAATACATGCAGATTACTATTCCTCCATGGTTCATATGGGCTTATAAGGCTGCCGCAATTATTTCGGACCTTGCCATGTATTTCGAGCCTTGCTAAGGGCTTATATGGCCATATATATTTCTGTCCAATTCGCTGATGACTCGAAGCTTCGACGCTGACTAAGACTCGAATCAGGGGATCGGTGCCGCGGCTGTGCATTTCCCAAACATATCCAAACTTTCACGGCGCGTCAACGCGATTAGTCTGAACTTGCTTCTTGCCACCATGGGCGACGACACAGCAGAGCCCGCCGCCTCTTCTTCCTTACATCAAAACAGCATTGCCAGCGCCAATATGGGCTCACGGTATTCTCGAGGACCAACTCCAGGGCCATCTGGTGAGATTACGGCATTCTGTTGCTGTCAACCATTGGATCATTCATCATTTTTTTTATTACTTAGGCCCACCAAGACCATCATCAGGGACGCCTGCTGCTCCTGTACTCAGACAGAATGACGCTGGTATACTTGCTGAACTGATACTTGCTCTAAAACTCATCATTCGGTAGCCGCGTCGCATACAAGCAACCCGTTGAAATCTTCGCAAAAGGCAGCTGCAGCGACTCCGACAACTGCAAGACCGTTTCCCATGTCGCCGCCTTCCCAGTCAGTTATGCTGGACCCAGACGAGTTCGACATTCCACCTGCTATCGAGACCGATGACGATGAACTGCCGTCAGTAATGCAACTGTCGCAACAATTGGCACACATGCAGCCTAGTTTCACTAAGGGCGAAAATTCAGTACGTACGCTTATTACTTGGCGCGATTCGCGTCCTGACTCCATCCATAGGAATCGTCCATCTTAGCTCCATTTGCCTCCACGCCCAAACGGTCCCAATCCCAAAGAGCACCCATCAAAGTTCCACTTACTCCTTCGCCGCCTGATATCATTTCTATCTCGTCTTCACCTGCTAGTACGCCCCAAAGTTGTAGTCAGACAAAAATGTCAGGATCCCAGAAGCGCAAACAAGATGATGGCGACCGTAGCATCACTGCTGCTGAGAAGCCTGCGAAGAGACCCAAAATCAAAGCTGCCAGACGTTTCCCGACTACGCATAAACACCAGGTTCACTGGGAGCTCGACGGCAACGTCGTCATTCGTATCAAGAAGACGCTCTTTAGGGTGCATCGGGGCGTGGCTAAGCATAGTGAATGGCTCTCCCAGCGGTTTGAGGAGGAGGCGGACGGGTTTGAAGGGAAGGATCCGGTGTTTAATATCAAAGAGGAAGACAGGGTCACGGTAAAAGATTTCGAGGCTCTCTTGGACGCGATGGATGATGCCATGTGCGTCCTCTTGCCTCTCTTCCGTTTTGTTGCTGACAGCCTCCTAGCACCTACTTCTATAACCCTCCCGACTTTTTGACTGTAGTATCCATTTTTCGCGCCTCCAGTGCACTCTCCTTCAAATACTTTCGAGACTGGGCAACACGTTATCTCGAAGAAATGTGGCCTTTTTCCTTGTGTAAAGTGACCCTTGATCCAATCAGCCATGCTTCCGACACCGTCATCCTTGCGCGTGAATGGGGCCTCAAGAGCATCCGCAAACGAGCATTGTACGAGCTCGTGCGCCTTGCTGGGTTCGGCCAGGACGATTCGGATGACGAGTCAGACCACAGCACCGCGATCTCCTCGTCTGACTACAGGCTCTTAGTTCGCGCTCGGGAGATGCTCACGTCTGCGTGGACCACCCGGATCGCTACAGCAACTTTTGGGGTTGAAACCAAGTGCATTGGGAATGTGGAGAGTTGTACGGCTGCGGACGTGAGTTTGGTGGCCTCGAAGCATCAGGAGATGGTCGTCGCCTCGGGGTTGTTCGAGACGTTCTTGAGGGACCCGATTTGTGGGACTCGGGCGCTGATGGAGTTGGATTGGGCCAAGGCGGGGTATTGTCAGGCCTGCGTGGATCAGAGGATTGTGGTGTGGGGGAAGGCGAGGGAGAGAATGTGGGAGGATTTGGATATCTGGTTGGGGTTGGATAAGTGCTGATGCAGATGGGCAGTGGGGGCTAATTATTGTACTTTTATGTTCAAGCATAGTGTACGTCTTTAGATTCTCATTTTATTACAAGAGTACGAATTTAATGTTCTCAGTTCTAGTTCCAATGATGGCTGAAGGTAGTTAGATATATAAATAAATACGGAGACTAAGTCCCTCTTAGCTCAGTTGGTAGAGCGCGTCACTAGTAAATGTTATGACGAGGTCAGTCGTTCAAGTCGGCTAGAGGGAATCCTGTAAACGTGGTGGAATATTTTTTCTTAGCGTTGCGCGGCGCACGAAAATGACGAAAGTCGCGACTCGCGACTTACGAAACCTCCAGGGGTAGGTACTAACTACCGACCCCTCTCCATGGGGTGTTTTTAAACGGTAATTACTAATTTACTGTTATTTAACTCCCACGTGCAAAATCACATGACTGACGCGCGGTAATTTCAGTTTTTTTGCAGCACCTCTGTGTTCGCGTTTTTACACATGTTCTTTATTGAAAGAGTTTTATTCACTTGGAAGTATTGAATTTTTATAGCTGTGCCTTATAAATAGAGTATACATGCAGTTGTACTGAATTATCATGCTCAACTGACAGTCACATGACACATGATAGGTACGACGAAAACCCCTCCAGCGAGGGGAGGTAACTTACCGGCAACTCACCGGCAATTAACCTAGGTTTCGTGCGCTACCCTACTGTCGGGAGGAAGCCTCTGAGGGACTCGTCACTGGGGACTCCAGGGCCGGCCAAATTTGAACATCGATGGCTTTGGACGGAGTCGTGCTTTTTATTTCTTTACCAGTAAGCCTCTGGTCCGAAAACTAAATGTTGCTCATAAGTCAACGCGCTTCCTGTAACGCTAAGACCCGCAAAGCAGCTCAATCTCCTCGGATTAAACAATTCAGTTGACATTTCCGAGCGAGTCCCTACATACTTAACCTGAGCCTCAGGATCAAACCACGATGAGAAGCAAAGTTCGTGGTCCATACATTCCCTTTGACAGCGTCTAAATTTTTTTGTATACCTAGAGATATGGTATTTATACGTCCCTATCTTTAATTAGCGCCGATTCCGTTACGCGTCCTGGCCTGTAGTATGTACGTGTATGTCTCCCTCCGTTGTCGCATCTGGACTCGGAGAGCGACGCATTCGGAAAGAAGAGACGCCACAAGTATTGCGGTCCGGACTCTATATCGTCCGCGGACAGGCTGACCTCGCTGAACAGGGACAATTGCGGGTGTCATTCCTGAACCCTGTGTCGACGCAGATCTCAGAGGGCTACTGAATAGCCTGAGGTTACCTGAATGTGGAGCGGTGGCGCCTCGAAGGCTAAGACCAGAGAATGGCTAGATTGTGGCTAGATTTGCATGTGTGTGGGTTATCTGGTCCAGGTTATCCATGGGCGGCCAGAAAGTGGTGTCATTGAACTTTACTGTTTTCTTACTCGACGAGCGCCTCCGACAACGACGACGATACGGGATAAGGACCCGCCACGGACAAAGTAGTCGTTAGTCACCAAACCCACGTCAGCGTCATTTGACCCACCCCTCGGATAACACGTGAAATTACCCATTTCATAAGAGTCTCGTTTATATTAGCTTGCAGCACAAGATCTTGTCTTCCCCCTCCCATTAACAATAATGCTGAGACCACGCCCAGCACCCATCCCCCTTCCCTTCCACTTTGAGCATAACAATAATGGCCGTTATTATGAAGACGATGAAGGTCGGTTTTTCCATCGTTACTCCTTGCTGCTACCCACGCTGACGAACGAATGCCCCGTCCTCGCCCCTCTCCCCTTTTCATTCTCCCGTCTATAGATGAGACGCCTGAATACCGTTTGAACCTTGGCGAAGAGACGCCGGAAGAACTGACACCCTCTATATCCTCATACCCCTTCGCGTGGGAGAGGTCGGGCTCGAGGACCCCCGTACGAAGACGGTCACTATCCAGCTTGCGGAGGAGCAGCAAGCCGAGGAGGGACGCCGTAGACAGGGACTGTGGCATCTGGTGTGTTTCCAGATTCTGTTTCTTGCCCCCCAATGTCTAACCCAGCCGTCTAGCTTCGAAAGCGCGGTAGTCCCCTGTCGAACACTATGCTGTTCAAAACTGTTTTGTTTAGAGCACATCGCTGATGTACGTGGATTGCATGTTGCTATATTCTTTGCTCATCTCAAGTATAGTGGCTACACGGCTCGCGCTCTGACGGACGCTGCCCATCCTGCAAAACCCGTTGTACACTGAAAAAGGATACCATTCTCCTTCCTGTGCCCCATCTGCACTATTCTATACCACCAACCCCACCGCCGAGTCTTCGTCTTCGACCTAGAAGTCCGTCGACATCAGGATCTGAGACCTCGGATGTAGGATCGGAGGAGAGCGAGGACTCCGACGCGGACCACGGCTACCACACAGACACCCTCGATCTTTCGGGGACCAAGGTTGCTAGCAAGATTTTAAGCATCGTGGGATTGACGCTCGTTTTCTATGTATTGTTGACGTGATTTCCCATCTGTTCATCTACACACACACCCCACTCCTATTTTTTTTCAGCATCTCTCTCACTAGTCGTGGCATTTCTTCAACCTTCTAGTTGTTGTTTTGGTATACTCCTGTTTTCTCTGTCACTTGTCGCATCGTGTAATAATACCAAGGGATCGGATGAACATATGTACGAATACAGCATGACCTCCCGGAACACCAATTTTGCAAGTCGTTGGACCTATCACCGGCGAACACGACTATCAGATGGTTTGCTGGCAAGGATACAGGACACAGATATCGAGAAGCACAAAGCATGCATTATTTGCTTGGCATAGCTTCCATGACAGGGCCAGCAACGTTAATCAGAACAGCAGACCGGAGGATACTGATGGACCATCAGCACATGTCCAGATGCTGCAAAGTGCAAAAACTGAAATAGCACCCCGCCCGAAAGCAAGACGAAAAGAAGGCAGTACGTTCGTAAGATACAGCGTCTAATCCACTAGAATAGCGAGACCAATTGAAAGGTGCGCAGCTCGTGTGATAAGGAGAAGCACAGAAGCAGGACCTGGGTAGTTCGTGTGCTGATGAATTCATCCACACGAAGTCGATCGCTTCCTGCAAAAGGTCCGGCAGGCAGATTCTCGGACTCCAAGGGGAAGGAGGGAAGGAACGGGTCAGTCACAACCAGTCAGTTTTCAGAACAGACTCGATCCACCATAACCGCCATTGGAACGGAACAATCAATCAGGGATGTGGGTCTACGCAAGCCGGTTGGCAGCAAGAATGCTTGGGCTGTGAATGAAAGCTGGACGAAAGAGGGCCTCTTCCTTTGCGAACTTCGTCGGATAGTGATGCATAAATACCTTTAGCCTCGCACCCAGCGTCACTTGGAAGGAAGGAATGGCCAACACTACTTTGAGCCGCGACGGCATTTCAAAATAGCTCTGTACTAGCACGGGGTCATCAAGTCTCGAGGACTAGATTGGGTCTGAGCGTCGCTGTGCGGGGCGATGATAGCCCAGCTGATAAAGGAGGGCTGTGTGAACTCGTTCAATCGATCTCTCAAAGCGGCTCGTTGAAGGATACTCTGGGGGTACGGAATTACGTGTTCGTTGGGGCCTTCTCTGATCGAAAGAGACAGTGTGTATTCTGGTGCTGTTGGGCATATCTGACATGAACGGGGTGACAACAAGAGCGGGCGGAAGGAGAGATGATGGGGACGCTTGCTGGTAAGCGGGCCTGCACGCGTCATAGTTGTTGCCGTGATGACACAATGAAGCGCGAGTGTTCTCTTTCCTCGGGACTGGTCGTAAAGGCAATACGGGCGGTACTCGTTGACGAAACAGAATAAGGTTTAGATTTTGTGCAAAATGCGCAGCCGCCAAGCGAACCGCTACTTTTCCGCATTTGATCAAGGTGTCTTTTTCTTGATGAGGTCGGGGGAGGTACTGAAATATCGAGGCAAGAAGATAGATACTTCGTACACAATTGGTACAGAAGGAAAGAATCGAGGACTCGGCAACTGCCGCTCCTAGATCTTACCTTACTTCACATACTAGTACCAGTTATTGCGAGAGATTTCAGAGTCTGCATCGAGGAGACTAAGTGCTCATGCCAAACATATTCGAGTACACTTGCTGAAAAAGTATAGAAATTTATCTTTACTTCCGGTACGCTGGACTGATATACTTATATCACACGTGCTAGTAGCGCAGCTAAATCATATAGGACCTCACTGAGATGATCGTCCAACTCATTGAGGGTCATGCATCCAAGCTCGACTACGAGTTTGGAAACGAACGACCTTCCCGCGATTGGCGATGTTCTCGGCTTGCATTGGGAGCCGTACGCAATTAGCCACCGATAGAAGACCATGTCAACTGATCATGAGGATTTCCCCGATATCTGATTCTTCCTTCGTAGTATCCGATCACCTTCGTACAGTTGGTTGATTTCGCTGAGAACCAGCTTCACTATACGATATCATCCTTATATGATCTCATCGACCGTTCCACTTGCTCCTTGACCAATCTCAATATCGTAAACTGCTCCAGTGTCGACCACCCATTCTGGAGGCCAGTCTCGAACTCATCGCTCTCACTCTTTGCGTTTCTTCAGACTCCAATTGGGACAGCGAATCAATATCAACAATGGTTATCATGCGCAAGAGCACCAAGGCCCTTTCGGCCAGCTAAAGTCTCTTACGCTGCAGTTATTAGTCTTCCGCACTCAATCCAGGCTTGTTGTTCCGCTTTAGGACCTGCCATAGAGGATCGGTGGAGAGAAAGGACGCTTCTTCTGGTTAGTATCACGATTCTCCCCCAGTCGCATTTCAGATATGACGAAGGATTTTCAAGCGCGCCTGCCTTTGGTCTGTTGCTCTTCGCTATCATTGGAAGATCTCTTGAAATATAGCCTCGATTCCAACGCGGTGTATAGCTCCTTCACCTGCTGATGAGGACGTCTTGTAGTCGGTTAAACGTTTCGAATGGGGTCATGTCGATAATCTTGTCGCCCAATGCAAAGCTACATACATGGATATCGGTACCGCTTAGTCTGGTTTAGCCCGCCGAACTTGACGCTTGCTATGCGTTGCTAGCCAATTCTTACTTCATTTTCAGTGGCGTCTGTAGCTCGGGTTCAAGTAGGGGGTCAGGACAGGCTGTCATCGCCGACTGTATTATCATTGGTCCACGCCGGTTGCAACACTCTGCATTCAAGTTGCAGAGGCATTCTGGCCAACTGGCATCACC